TGGAAGATGTACTTTTTTTCTGTAGGGGTGGGGTGGGGGGGTCAGTTTTTATGGCTTTATTTCAAAACAAACAACGCACATGAACCATCTATTCATTTCCTTGGAATGGGTGATTGCAATGACTGGCTGGGCTATTCTTTTTACCATGACTTTGTGGTTTTTGTAGGAAACCCTGTGAACGATCTCAGAACAGTAAGACTCATTGCACATCAGCAGAACTTCCAGTTCCTTCAGGTTGTAAACTAAGAACTGCTGGAAGCCATGGGGCAACATGTGTTTTTCTTTCTTGTTGGTCCCATCACCAATGTTGAGCATTAATATCCAGCTCTAGAATCTTCTCCCTACCATGTTATCATTACCTCTGGGTTTTTAACAGTTACTATTAATTTTGACATACAGATCTGTCTGGGGCCAGATGAATTTCTTGGCTCTCTTTTTGACAAGTTGGACTTCACAAAGGGTATGAGGATGGCCATTGTGCTGGGTAGGAGATAGCTGCCACCACCAAGGAAGAGAAAGGAACATGGTGTGCAAGTGCTGACAATTGTGTATGTGCCTATACTATAAATCTCAGACTCAGATTCTAGTGAAACCACTAAATTTAGCACCCAGTAAAACTGTCTCTGAGAGGACTTTTGGCTTCTGTGTCTGATATTTCAAGTTCAGATTGCTCCAACATCAAAAGCAAAATGAACTCCTCTGAATTTTCCCTCCTTTCCCTGTCCCCACTCAATATATGGTACAAGCACCGAAGAGTAGAAAAATGAGGAAACAAAAATGAGCGGAAGGATACCTTGGAAAATTGTAACAGGTTATTTCATTTATTTCAGCAAGCATGTATACTGCATTAGTTGTATCCCTGGTAGAGATGTAAGCACTTTACAAAGAATAGTTCATTTAATTCTGCTCCATGAGATTGGCTCTGTTATGAATTCTCTTTTGTAGGTAAGGTAAAGTTGCCCAAAATTACATGAGTAGGAGTTACAGCATGACTTTAACTGTAGCTTTGTGTGTAAAAGATTTAAAAATTATTTATTAGATCCAAAGACCAATGAGCTGGGCATGGTGGCACACACTATAATCCCAGCACTTGGGAGTCTGAGGTAGGAGGAATGTTTATCTTTGAATGTCTTGGACACATAATAATCCCAGCCATTGATTTTTTTTTTACTCTCTAAGGTACTATGTCTCTTATTTATCTACTCCTTTTACAGGTGTAAGCTCCTTCTCTTCATATTGTCACTTGCCAAGTTTGATTTCTGCCCAGCCACCAAATAGTAGTATCAAAAGACAAAATTGCAAGGACTTAGTTTAAAGATCTAAATTGGCTTTTATTCATGATTGGTGTTTATTCAGAATTGGGCACATTTCTGAACCATAAGAAGTTCAAAGAACTTTAGCTAGCAACATGATCAGGCAGTGTGTGGACAGGCAACAGAATTGAGGTGTAGATTTTAACTCAACACAGATTTTGACTTATTTAAATCAGTTGTCTACCTAGGATTGACTGAAGTTCAGCTGCTGTAACTAATTGACACTCAGACATTTGTTACCTGAGTATACTCCTAGGGAATTATGCTCATTTAGCATGAATGACTCCATGTTGATTTGGTCTGCTGGGCCCTGTACAAGAGCCTAGTACAAATCAGTGGCCTCCAACAAACTATTTAACAACAGCAACTGCCAATTCAACCCACAATACAGAAATGCTGCAGAAATTTGTCTGATATGCATGTTCTTCTAGCCCAAATGGCTATGCGTTTACACACACACACACACACACACACACACACACACAGAGTCTGTGTTCAAAATGAGGAGTTAGCTTATGTTCTCTCTGCAGGTGAGAGATACAAACCATTACTATGAGTTATTCACTACAAATGTGCTCTTTCTTCTTTTTTTTTCTTTTTGGTGGTTCTAGGGTTTGAACTCACGGCCTCAGGCTTGTTAGGCAGGCACTCTACCACTCGAGCCACTTCACCAGACCCAAATGTGCTTTTTCTGATCAGCTTCTATCTTTATCGGATGAACTGTCCCAGTCATTCCTGCTGGGTATTTATTATTTTCTATGTACTGTGCTAGACACTGGGATTGTGATATAAACAATGCTGACCTTTAAGCATGGCATTTTAATTACATTCCTGAAACTTTTACCAGCAACTTCCCTGACTTTGGGAGATCACTGGTAGATCTCTTTTGCCCTGTTGTACAATGAGGGCTTAAGAGAGCTCAGAAAGCCTTTAAAATCAAAGGGTGCGAGAGATGTGACTTCTTGTCTCAATTCAGTCCTTAAATTGCTCTATGCTTTCAAGCACAGTGTTCAGTCTCTGGATCTGTCTACTCCTCTATAAAATAAATGGAAGATACTAGAGCAAGTTTGAAAAAGTGTTCCTAGACCTTTGTAGGAAAAAAGAATTCCATGTTCAAGCAGATCTAGGAAATACCGATGTTAGTAGGCTTTTTTTTACCCTGAGACTCTCAGAAACTTTCTCATGCAAGTTTTGATTTATGACTCTTCAAGTTGGAGATAGCAATTGTGTTTCTCGAATTTATTCGACAGTGGACCCCTCTTTCCCAGAAGCATCTTTGTAGTACTAATAATGTCTTTCATATTATGTTTGAGACATGTCTTAATCTATGCCCTCTACAGCAATACTCTACCCTTGGATCAAATTCATGTCATAGGCATCTTCTAGCCTATGTTCCCTTTCCTTTTCCTCTTCAAGTTATGCACTTGATGCTTTGGTGCCTGGGCTGTGTGAACTCACCAATCCCAGGTCCACAGTTTGCAAAGCCACACATTTCATTAATACTTTGGACAACAGTGACCAGAGGAGCACAGGGGCTGTTTTGCAGTGAGGTGTTACATGGAGCAGCACAGAGGGACCTCTCTGGGGAAGAAGATGAGAGAAATGAACATGAGAAACAAGAGCAGGAAGAGGGCAGATCTCCATGAAAACTCAAAAACACATATTTGACATTTTGCTGACTAAATAGCAGCCTTTCCCATTGCAGGACTGCCATTTGCAAACACGACTGTTAGGACTCGGAGTTAACAGCGTAGTGGCTCCATGCAAAAGTCTGTGTTCAGCATCTGTCATGCTGAAGATCATTAATGTGCAATTGCATCCTATTCAACTTCATTCATTATCATTGCTTCAGCTGGGGTTTAATAAACTATTTATGGGAGTCAGGATAGTCACAATGGGGTTACAGTCTGAGACAACGGCAGGGGAAGCAAGTCATGGTTAAAAGACTTGATTTGTGAGAGTTTCTTGATGATTTAATTAAACAAAAATATCTCAGAATAATGCTGACATATCCCTATTTCAAAAGAATGAAGACTGCACTTAGTATTCCTGAAAGATCCAGAAATGATTTTGAACTGAAACAATTCAAAGCTGGTTTCTTTGCCATTTTATTCCTCCTAAAAATAAGAAACAAAGGGAGGAGGAGGAAGGTAGGTTAAGAAAGTAATATAGATGGGGTGAATTTGGTCAAACCACATTATATACAAAATCACAATGAGGTACCTTTGAACAATTAATTAATACTAATAATATTTTTAAAAATTAAGGGAATATTCAGCACCAAAAAGTGAACAAAAAACAAGCTGAGGTGAGAGAATTGAATCAATGGTTTCTCTGTATAAATCATGTAATTATCAATAGTGGAACTCACACATCATTATTGTTCCTGAGGACATGTGACACCACAGAACCATTTATTTTCAGCCTTATGAGATGGGCAAAAATTTCCAGTACGAATTATTTTTAAAACGCTCACAAATTACTTGGATGTTTGCATTTTGTACATATATGCATATGATTAGTTTTATTAGATTTAAATATCAAATAATTTATTAGTCATCGTTTCGATGTATATCCCACAAACATTTATGAACAAGGGAAATAAAGTATAGACACTGAGTTAATTTGCATCTGAACTCAGGTAATCCAATTACATAATCAGAATAATATAAAAGTTTTAAATATGTACATTAATATTTTAATGTTATTCATTATTTCACAGGAAATAGCCAAATTATTTGCACAGTGAAATTCCAGGTCTACAATGATATTAGGGCTTGCTAATGTGTCCCAATTTGCCTAATGGATACAATTAAAATACCAATATATTAGATCACCATTATGCAAAACTGTCACAATTCTCAACAAGGCTAAATCTTAAACGAGACTTCTGATGTGCCTCAAGATCGCCAAAATTAACATCTCCACGCAAATGATTTCTAATAATATGAAAGCCTCGGTTACATTTTTGATACGTAAACTACTCGCTGATATGGGAAAAACTGGACCAAGCTCTTCCCCCACCCTCTCCTTGTTACTCTTTTGGGGACGGCCAGGCCACTCCAGATGGTGTGGTAGTTAGCGTTGGACATAGCTTTGGAGAGACTTCAACAGACGAAGGCAGTGCTGTCAGGATTTTGCTGTGCGTCGCCCCCTCCCCCCGCAGTTCCCAGGGTAGGAAGGTGCTGAGATGGAAGCCGAGGGACGCCCGCCCACCTGCCACCACCTGTTCCCTCCTTTAGTCCTGGGCTATAAATTCTCCTCCGTCAAAGATTCATCCAGCGCTCGCCGACAGCTACTGTGCGGTACCAGCGCTCCTTCCCTAGCCGAGCTTCGGGAAAGATCTCATCAGGGGACCGGGGGTGCTCCCCCAACCCCCATACCCGGCACCGCTGCAAGAAGGTGTCCTTCTCTTTTTCAACCTCACGCTGGGAAAATGCCTTTTTCTTGAGCATCTCCCTCTCCCTTACATTTGCCTAAGTGATGAGAGACAGCCCGGTTATCCAGCAAGACAGAAGGCCGAGCCCCGCACTCCCCAGTGTAGACTGACTGCACGTGAGTTGCTGTGTCTGTGACTTATTTGCTAAGCAGAGCCACGTCGGGACGCGCGCGGCTCGAGTGCCAAGCCACGCACCGGTCCCGGAGCCAGCTGAGCCCCGCCTCTCCCGCCTGCGGGCCCCGGAGGTGATGAAATCTTGCAAGTTGGGCTGCCAGCCGGCAGGCGCGCGCGCCGCAGCCCCGTGCGCGGGCGGGACCGAGTGCGCAGGCGCGTGCGCCGGGGCCGGCCGGCTGGAGAACGCGGCGCGCAGACGCCTGGCGGCCAACGCGCGTGAGCGCCGCCGCATGCAGGGGCTGAACACGGCCTTCGACCGCTTGCGCCGCGTCGTGCCGCAGTGGGGCCAGGACAAAAAGCTGTCGAAGTACGAGACGCTGCAGATGGCGCTGAGCTACATCATGGCCCTGACCCGCATCCTGGCCGAGGCCGAGCGCTTCGGCTCGGAGCGGGACTGGGTCCAACTCCACTGTGAGCACCCTTACCTGCCGTTCGCGGGCGCGAAGCTGCCGGGCGAGGGCGAGCCCTACGGCCAGAGGCTCTTCGGCTTCCAGCCCGAGCCCTTCCCCTTGGCCAGCTAGGGCGCGCGGGGACAGCGGGACCCGGCCCCGGGGAGCCGCAGGGGGGTGGGAGGTCTTTGAAGAAAATTAGCCAGCTTGCGGTTGCTTTCCCTTCGCATCCTCGACCTATGGACACCTGTGGACGCAAGACTTCGATCGCCCCTCCCCTCCCTTTTCTGGATTTGGTAGATTTCATTCACGAATCTTGTGAATGAGTCTGATTGCTGTGTAAATAATGTCCGACCTTTTTCCGGGACTACTTAGAGGGAAATCAAGCTTAAGAAAATGTAAGCTTAGGCTGTACCGAAGTTTCAGTCCTCTGAACAATAGCCACTTGTCCTGTTGGGGAGAAGTGACACTATGCGTTACTGCGTGAGCACCCACAGCCACCTTGCGGTCGTGTAGATGCGTTTCTGCTCAGCGTCATGTGTGCATGCGTCAGCTAGAGCTAGGGCACTCCCACCCCCATCCCCCAGCACCCCGCTTCTTTTTACTGCTAGAGTCTGTGGGCATGAGTACTCTGTATTTTTAAAAACTGTGTACACATTATTAAAATACAGATTTTGTAAAATATAAATAACGTGGGTTTGTTATTCATGCCAAGTACCTGCTGGTTTTCTGAGTGCGCCGAGGACTTGAGGGTGATGATGTTGAGTGCTTCCTGGGTACCAGCTTGGAATGTTTAAAGTTTAATCCACCAGTTGGCAAATGTGCTGTTTCTAATACTTAGGCAAAATAGGCAAGCTGGCCAGAATATGAGTAATTAATTTGAAATCTTTATTTGCCAACTTGGAAATAGAGTTTTTTTGGTGGCTATTTAAAAAGGTGTTACACAACAAGGGGATTGGACTATGAGCACATGATAAAAGCGAGAGCACACAAGGAAGGGGTGAGGATAGGTAAGACACCTAAAAAACTAGCTAGCATTTGTTGCCCTTAACGCAGAGAAACTAAAGCAGATACCTTAAAAGCAACTGAGGCCAATAGGAAAAGGGGACCAGGAACTAGAGAAAAGGTTAGATCAAAAAGAATTAACCTAGAAGGTAACACACACGCACAGGAAATCAATGTGAGTCAATGCCCTGTATAGCTATCCTTATCTCAACCAGCAAAAACCCTTGTTCCTTCCTATTATTGCTTATACTCTCTCTACAACAAAATTAGAAATAAGGGCAAAATAGTTTCTGCTGGGTATTGGGGGGGGAGAGGGAGGGGGCGGTGTGGGTGGTAAGGGAGGGGGTGGGGGCAGGGGGGAGAAATGAACCAAGTCTTGTATGCACATATGAATAATAAAAGAAAAATGAAAAAAAAATTAAAAAAATAAAGATGTTACATTGGAATAATATTTAGCTTTTAATTAACAAGTCATATAGTTCCTCAATATTTTATTTTCCTTACTAAGTTAATTACTAAATTATCTACAAATACCCAAATATTTATTCCTACATGTATACAGGAAAAAATAGATATCCACACATATATACGTTCACACAGGAATATATGTATTTCTACATAAAGAAATAAAAATGTTGCTTGTGGGAAGAGATTTCCTTGTAGTCAGTACAAGGTAAGCAATAAGGTTCTTACTACCATCATGGCTAATCAAAGTGGGAGCAAAATAATACACTTGGTATTTGGCTTGAATTACTTTTATAAATTTGCTGAATTATTATGTGAATAAACCAACCCTTGATGTGAAGAATACCTTGGTAGTCATCAGCATTTGGGAGGAGTGTCTCCCTCACAACTAGAAAAACTAGAACTTGGAATTTGTCGTACGTCAACAAATACAATAATGTCATCCTCTAAGTCCTGTTATTATGGAATCTAAAGCCTCCTATTTGCAATTTATTTACAGAGTCTCCATCAAAATTACTATTTTCTTATACCTAATGATCAAAATACATTTGGTTTGTAATTTGGAAAAGTGTCTTAAACTTACAGAAGCACAAATCTGGTTATCTCAAGACACCCATAAAGGTTGATGGTGAATTTCCTTTTCACCTGACATCTGTTAATAAGAAACCAAGGAAGGTTCAGGACTTGCTTCTTCACTGCAAATTACAGTATAAAATTGTTTATCCTCTTGACTCCAGCAACCCTTAAAAGATGCTGTGTAGTTAAGTAGGCGAACAACATAGCTTTAGAAGAGATGATCCCAGGACACCGTTCAGGTCACACTCCCCTTTGCAGAGGCACTGGAGTTAATGGCAAGACTCAAGGCATTTGCCTTTTGCATTTTTGGGCACAATAACCTACGTCCCTTAATCTTACAAATTGCTTTGTTAATAACCCCTATAAGTTTGTAGAGTTGTAAGTGAATAAAATTAATGCTTAAAAAGAAGTGTGTTCTTCAGTGAAGTTCTAAAAAAATATTAAGGTCTTTAATCATTTCACAGGATGCTACATTCCCCTCTTTGGAGTGTAAATACATTGGAAAGGGAACTTACTTCATTATATCTCTATGACTGTCACTACAGAGCCTTGCACAGAAAAAATGGGGGTTTTTTGGCTATGAATTTAATAGCACTTTCTTAATAAAATCAAACAATTTAATAAAACTTCGGGATCCTACTCCTAACCCTTCTCTAACCTCACTGCACCCAAAACAATGGAGATTTGTCTATTAAATACTATGACTTTAGCTGTCAGCTTTGGAAATTTCTAGAAGTAATTCAGCTCTTACCAAATTCCTCAGCTTTCCACCCCAGTCAATGTCCTATTTCTGTTTCCTACAAGTCATTGAAGGAAAAGTAAGTGATCACATTTGATGTTTGATGAAATTCAAACTGTATGTTGGGAGATTCATTATGACTTATGAGTTAAAAACTTAGATAAAGCAAATGTAAAATCTTTGTGTAGTTAAAGATTCACATTATTGTATAACATAGAGTTTAGAGTACCAAAAAACCTAATTTTGCTACATTATTGCTTTTCTATTTATCTATCTATCTATCTATCTACCTATCTATCTATCTATCTCCCTGCCTACCTACATAACCATCCATCCATCCATCTGAGGATCAAGCACAGTGTTTTATAATGTTCATCTTTGAAAATCCATCTTCCTAGTTTGGCCTTCAGTGTACTAAGAAGTGCAAACTTTAACAAGTATTTTATTGAATTAACATGGGACTTCGGGATTGCTATTTCAAACTGGTAGTGTATCCCCAGATACCCAACCTGAAAAAACAAAACAAAACTGGGGAGCAAGAATTTACCCATCTCATATACTAAGTGTATTGTTTATATTTAATTTTTTTTCCTGTATGTTATGATGTTTTAACATCTCAAAAATTATTCTAGCTGGGAAGAGACTCCTCTTCCTAGGGCTAGGCAATGCTTAGAGATAGCAAAGGGCTTAATTTAAGTGATATGCAGATTAGCACTCTAGAGTCATACCTCCTCTATCTGGCCCTATTGGCAATCCCTTAATTAACACAGGGCCGGCTACCAGGCAGCTATGGACCTGTCCTAGATTTGAGAACCCGCCAGAATTATTCAAATTAGCCAATCCTGCCTTGTCTTTCATTTCTCCCAGAAACTACAAAAGAGGTCAAATGGGGTTGGGGAAGTAGTTTAGTGGTAGAGTGGTTCCATCTTCAGTAGCACCATTTTTTTGTTTTTAAAGCCATGTAGCAGTGTACCAGTGGCTCATGCCTTTAATTCTAGCAATTTGGGAGGTTGAAATCTGAAGGAATAAAGTTTGAGGCTAGCCTGGGCAAATAGTTCAAGAGACCCTATCTCCAAAAAAACAACCAGAACAAAATGCACTGGAGATGTGGTTCAAGTGGTAGAGCACCTGCTTTGCTAGCTTGAAGACCTGAGTTCAAACCCCAGCCACCCCCTCCAAAAGAAAAGCCATGATGTAATAAGCTTTTTTTTTTTCCTGACCTTTTCCTGTGCCTAATTTCGTGGCCACACCTGGCTGACCATCACATAAAAGAACAATTAAAACACAACTGGGTGCCAGTGGCTCATGCCTATAATCCTAGCTACTCAGGAGGCACAGATCAGGAGGATCAAGGTTTGAAGCCAGCCCAGGCAAATAGTTCCAGAGACCCTATCTCAAACCAACACAAAAACAGGGCTGGTGGAATGGCTCAAGCAGTAAGAGTGCCTGCCTAGTAAGCATGAGGCCCTGAAACCCCAGGAACACCAAAACAAACAAACAAAAAACCCCACAAACAAAATCCAACAATTAACTGAGAATAAAGAATGTTTTATTTAACAAAGTACCAGTCCATCATATCCTCTACATTGTCTTTAAAAACATCTTGGTTAAGCGAAATACTGATTCTTAATTCTTACCTTTTGCTAATTGTAACACATTTCCTAACAAATCCCAATCCCAACAAATCTTTAAGAAAGCATGACTAAGGAAAACAACAGGTGCCGTGGAGATGCTGTGGTCTGCCAGAAAACATTATCATGTAGCTTCTGTTACACAGGTTATGCTCACACACATTTTGTCCTAAATGATCACTGGATTTCAGTTCCACAGAATGTCTTAACATGCATGATGCTGAGGAACAGGACTAAAAAGCAAGGTCCATTTTTTGCTTTCTAGGAGTAGAGGCAAAATACACAGTTTGTGTAATTCACAATTCAAAATGGCTTCTAGAAAGGCTTTTCCATTAAGATTTCAAAAACCAACAGTGTACTTTAGAAAAGAAGTTGACCCAGGGTGGAGGATGTGAGGAAAGGGGTAGGAGGGTGAATATGGTGTAAATACTGAGTACCCATGTATGTAAATGTAAAAATGATACCTTTTGAAACTCAGGAATGGGGGGAACATAAAGGAGAATGATGGAGGAGGTGAATTGAACTATGATATATTTGACATATTGTAAGAACTTTTGTAAATGCTACAATGTACCCCTATCCAGCATAACAATTGAAAAAAAAGGAGTTGACTCAATCTTGCTGAGGTGGAAGTGAACCTTTTGGGGTCTGGTATGTTTTCAAGGGAAAGAAATGATGGAAAGGAGAGAAATGAAAGTTTCAGAGATGTCTCATGATTCTGATTGAATTAAGGATGCTATTGTTAACGGTGCTGGTATTACAAATTCTTTGTATCCCACCAGGAAGAGTCCATGGCAGGACATGTAGGTGTAAAGGGGATTTATTAAAAGTTAGGGAAGAGAAATACACAGGGAAGTATGATGGGGTCCATGTGGAAGCTGAGAGAGCCTGTTTTTGCTCTTCAGGTGCTTTTAAAACCTAGATAACCTATGGGAAGGGGAGGACCAAGTGATTCTCATTCAATAATCAGTGAGTGGGGAGGGGCATGGCTGTTCCCGGCCAGATGAGGGTGATTCCTGAGCCAAAGCATGGTTAATCAATGATGTAATTTTTTTTCTATGAGTCCTGAACTTTCCCTACTGTAGCCTGCCTCACTATGACTGCTGCATGGCTCCTTACTTCAAGTGTGCATTTGTGTGTATGTGGGG